TCTTTGCTAGCTCTTTAGACAGCATTTTTACATAGATTTAAAAAATTGTTTCAAAGCTGACTCGCCCCGTATATTCTCTAAGAATTATAACAAATTACTCGACTCTATTGTTAACTGTTCGGTGTATAATTACCTCTCTAGCGACCTTTGCTAAAATGGTAGCACTCTGTTCCATACGAACGTACGCCAGTTATTTTTTTACTATCTTTTACCATTCCTTTCTATTGCCCAACACTATAGCCATTAACATCTGACCAGATACAATCAGACTATTTTGTTTCAAACAGATACTTAAATACTTTACTTTAAACCTATAACAATATTTCTATATTAGTATAATATAAAAACAACAAACCTTGTATGGCATAATTTAAGTATAATAAAAAAATTATGACATTTAAGTAACTCAACTCGAATAAACTTAAATTTTGGATTTAATAAATGTAACATTTATAAAAATGTGTATCTTTATGTATGAATATAAATAAATTATAATGCAAATGCCTCTTGTTTAATTTTCTAACTCCTTTCTTCATCTTCAAAAACCATTTAGAGTTTTCATTATTAACTCCTAAGGTGCCAGAACTACAATCTTTACTTCCTTTTTCAGTTCCATCCTTATGCTTTCTTTGAGTTCTGTTTCAATGTGTTCAACAATAGGTGATTCAAGTAGGTCATTTACATCTTCCTGATTCAAATGATAAAATCCCTCTACAAGCAAGGACTTTCCTAAATCAGTAATTTCTGTAATTTGATCTTTGATACCAAGCACCTGCGTGTGGAATAATTTTTGTCAAAGAAAAGTTATGTAACCTCTAAATTTTATAACTTTTTGATAGCTCAATTCAAAGACAGCTTCGAAATTTTATTTTTCAAATAAATAGTTGCATGTCCTTTCTTTGAGACAATGTTCGTGCTAATCACTAACGATGACATTTAGAGGATATATAACTTTTCTTTGATAGACTAAATATTATACAGGGTTGTTCACCACATACGACACGGAGTATTGTAGCTAAACGATTAGATTTTTACAAATTGTAAGTTTTGGGTTCGTTGAAGGACTATTAGAGCTACAATTTAAAAATATTTTTACAAGATACAGAGTGTCCCAAATAAATAAAAAATATCAAAGTTGTATTTTTTTAAATGGAACACCCTGTATATTATTCTATTTTTAGATTCTACGATTGAAATAAAGGTAAATTTGGATAAGGATGGTCTCACACAAGTGTCAGCCACCTCTCCTGTAGTTCTCTTTGGGTTTAGCCTCTTGGAACTTTAATTGTTACTTTTCCCAGTGTCGCTAGGGGGTTTCCCCACAGCTTCACCGGTGATGTTTTTATTACTATTATTACCAGATCTCATAGTGTTCCTATGAGTCGCTAGGGACAGTCGGTCCACTTCTACAGAGTACTACCCCGCATGTAGAAGTAAGGGGTAAAATACAATGGGGTGCCCCAAAGTTGAGGCTGTCCGTAGCCCCGCCCGGTATCGTTATATGTCTTGGTGCAATTCCCTGGCCACGACACTACAGTCAGGGCCAAGACGATGAGTGAGATGCTTCTTAGACCAAGCCAAGTGCTAGAGGGGATTCCCCCCAGCACCTGACCAGGAGCTTCCCCACCAACGACAAGGTCTTGCATCTCCTAGGGGAAGAAAGCATAGAGTATTCCAGTGATAAAACTAAAATAATAACTCTTCGCCTACACTGACATCTTTTTTTTTAATTAAAATTATACAGTATGTATTACTAATATACTCAAAGCTTTAAACTTGATTCTCACTTGTTCCAAATAATTTTTAATTGCGTCAAAACCGATGACATAACCAATCGATACATTTTTAATGGTGTCTTCTGACACTATATAAGCTACGCCCTAAAGAGATTAACATTTTTTCAATTTCACTTTTTGGGGCGTACGAATTCAAGAAAGAAAGAATTATAGAAATGGCATTATGTAAAGTAGACAATTTATTTATTAGAAGCAGTTACAACACAAATTAGCATTAGGTGAATTCACTTGAATAACCAATTACAATGGTGATCTCCATTATTCTTTATTCGATTTGGTTGTTAATGAATACCATTAGCCCAGATATTGTTTATATGGAATAGAATAGAATGGAACTTACCGTATGATCGAAAAAAAAAACGGCGTCTAAAACGGCTAGGTCAATCTCTAGACGTCGTTCGCTAAAAATTGACAGAAAACTTTTGACAAAAATTAACACACACGTTAATTTCGGGAGACGGTAATGCAATTTTATCGTCGTGTATAAAACAATGTTTTTTTCAATAGCGAGAAATTATTATTTCAAAGAATTTCTTACGTGTAGAAAAACTATTGTGCTGGGTTAGCGTTGGTTTCTCTGTAATTTGACAAATAAATAAAGCTGTCTCTTTAGTTGTCAGTTTTGAGTCAATATTTTTTAATTCTCTTTCGTGTCGATTGCTGATTGAATTGGAGCCAGAAATGGCTCAAAACGAAATCAGTAAATTACCAACAGATATTCAGGCTGAGGCGACAAACGCCATATCCAAACTACTTCCATTTAAATCCCGAATAACTAATGAAAAGGAATACAAAAATTTTTAAAAATAGTGCGAGAAGAAATAAAGTTTTTAACCTATCCTCGCTGTTAAAGTACCATTTAATCTACCTCTGCGGTTAAAGTACTATTTTATCTACTATTTTTGATAGATATAAGACAATTTTAACAGTTGCTATGGAAAAAAAAATATTTTTACTCAATGTGAAAATAAATTACAGTCTTTTTAAAGCCAGCTGTCAGTAAACGCCATTAAAAAACGAAGAAGAGTATGAGCCAAATCATTTCATCGATTGTCATTCCCCTGCCGTCTTTGACGCCGTTTTTTTTCGATCGTGTGGTACTTACTATACATCTATTTCTAAAAAAAAATCTGACCTATTTTTAGTAAACATGTATGCAATAAATTACAAAAATATAAAAATTGTTTCATTGCTTTATATAGTTACAGACAAATATTAGGAAATCGTAAGAAACTCATTCGGGAAAATACCATGTAAAATAAAAACATATCTTCCACGCAAGAACGCTTTCCTTAAGAGCGAAAAAAATAAGTGTGAGAGAGAGGGAAGACACAGAAATTGCAGAAATCACTTTTACTTTTCGTTAGGGATGTGCATTTTAAGGAAAATTATCGATATCGATTTTATCACATAAATAAACGTAGTTTTAATCGAACTTTATAGCTGAATAAATACTGTTTTATATCCAATATATGCGTATACTGTATACACTGCTCTAGAGTTTCGTTAGATATCTCCATAATCTCGACTTTATTTTATCATTTTTCTTTAAATAAATAAATGGCCTTTAATAGCACTGACTTTTAAGTTGCGTTTAGAACAAACAGGATAGAGTTTAAAAAAGAAAGAACCAATATAAAGAATATAGAAAAAAATGTAAAAAGAAGTACAAGAATTAATAAAAAAAAGGAAGAAAGAAAAAAATAGTTTTGAAGCTTAGAAAACTTAAAAAAAAACAAAAAAAGTATAGAAAAAAACAGAAATAGAATAAAAAATTAAAAAAAAATAATAGAGATATTAGAAAAAAAATATGAATAAAGAGTTAAAGTCAAAAAGTGGTTTCAAGATAGAAAAAAACTAAATAAAAGTAAGAAACATTTAGACAGAATAAATAAAGTGAAATAAAAATAAAAAATAAATAGAAATCTACACTAAAAATACCAAAACATATTCAAAAAAGATAGAAAAATAGTTACTGAGCTAAATTTACTTCTTAAATAAAGAAGTACGTTACCTTCTATCCCTGGATGGTCTGGCACCCAGAGATATGTTGATATACTAAAAATAGATCGATATTTTGGTATATCGACATAGCAACACGTCTCTACATTAAGTACAAACGCAGTTTGGTTGTTTAAACGGTTGCGGAACCAGACATTACCTCTTCTATTCAAATCAAATAGATAGTTCTACGCCTAGAAATGTATATTCTATATCAATTTAGGTTTATGTAACGCTACTTAAAGAGATATTGATTGCTAAATCATTCAATCATCGGAGATTTCGATTAACACACTCTTTAGGCCGTTGAAAATTGTATCAGCAAGTAGCATAATAAGGAAACAAGTGTGTGAACGTTTTGAATGTATTCTTTGCCGCTAAATTTCTGCATAGAGCTTGTATTTTCTTAGGAACTTGTATAGACAACCAGTAATTATTATAGAATGATTTATACATTCACCATATAGTCAATAATGATATACTGTTTTATAACTACACAACAAAAAAACTTTAAATGGGAAGACTGTTTCTTCTCTTGAATTTGATTTGCTATTTTTTTCTTAAATATCTATATTTTTAAAGGAGGTTACTAAAGAATAAAATTTCAAAGATTCTTGTAATAAAAATTTATTTACAAAGATACAAAATAGGTCTAACTTACACAAGTACAAACTTTTGCCTTTTTTAGAGGCTATTTATTTAAGAGGCAAGATTTTTACACAGGCAGATTTACAGATTCTACATCTGTAAGAGTCTGAAATCTATAAATGGTTTGTATTACAGATTTTACATCTGACAACCATAAGTATTACAGAAGAAAAATAGGAAATTATAGAAAACAGTCACAGAAAAGAAGAAAATAAAGCATATATAGATTGAAAAAGTACATAGTACAGATTTTTTATATATGCTTTACAGTTAACAGTCAAGGAAGAGTTAAATATTTAGAAAAAATAAAAGAGGATTGAAGAAAGTAATAAAAAAGGTAAATAATTATGAAGTGTAAAGAAATGACAAAAAAAGAATAGTATAGAAAAGTAGAAAAATTAATAGAATTAAAAACAAATAGGATATAGTTTAAAGAAGAAAGGAACAATACAAAGATTAGAAAAGAAGAAATGTTAGAAGGAAAAGAAAAATTAATAAAAAAGAAGGAAAAATCGTGAATAGAAATAAAGAAATTAAAAAGATCAAAAAAAGATAATATAGGAGAAGAAAAAAAAAAGAAAGGTAACAACATAATCAAAATAAAAATAGAATTCACAGAAAAATAGGAAAAGGAATATGAATAAAGTTTAAAGACACAAAGTGATACAGAGAAAAAGAAAGTAGTAAAAAAGTGTAGAGAAATTTAAGAGAGAAGGATAAAATGAAACAAAGAAGAAAATAAATGGAAAAAAGGACTAAACATACCAGAACAAATTAAAAAAATAGAAAAATAGTAATTGAGCTAATTTTGCTTCTTAAATATAGAAGTATCTTTCTCGTGGTTTTTTATTAACATCTAAGACGAATTAAATTGATAATAAATTTATTTGAGGCAAAAAAGAAAAAATAAAAGTAAAAGAATAGTCAAAATAAGAGGAAAAATATAGAAAAGAAAAAAGAAAAGATTTATAAATAAAGGTCAAAGATAGAAATCGTTATAAAAGAGGAAATTATCAGATTAAAGTAAGAAAAATCAGGATAGAGGGAATAAGGAAGGAAAGAATGGAAAAAATAAATAGAAATCTAGATTACAAATACCATGACAGATTAAAGAACATATAAAAACATAGACATTGAGCTGTTTTTACTTCTTAAATAGGAATTGTGTCTCTCATGGTATTTTTTATGAAAATTAAAAATCTGATAGAGTGCAATGGTGCTGAGTTTTTTTTGAGATAAAAAAGAAAAAAGTAGAGATGAAAGAAATGGAAACACAAAATCAAAATAAGAAAGAAAATAACAAATAGAAAAGAGAAAAGTATAAAGTAAGAATAAATTAGATAAAAGTAAGAAAAAATAGGACAGAAACAGTACAGAGGTAGAAATACAGGATAGAAAAGAAAAATAAATAGAAGTCAAGAATATAAATACCATGACAGACTAAATAACATATAAAAAAATAGACAGTGGGTTATTTTTACTTCTCAAAGAAAGTAAGTATGTCTCCCATGGTATTTTTCACGAAAATTAAATTGAAAAAATCCTAAAAAACATTTTTTTTGTTCTAATAATAGCCAAAACTGATATCGTGCAGTGGTGCTGAGTCTCCTTGTGGTAAAGCATAGTCTTTGCTGAGTTGATCTAAGATTGAGCCTCCATTTGGCCGACCAGCTGAAGGTTTTGGTGCAGGTCTGTATTGGGGCGCTGGCCTGGGTGCTGGTGCAAACGATGGTTGAGGTGGGGGTCTAAAAATAACATGGTTTTATTAAGTTGTTTTTCAAAAACGTTATAAATATAATATGTTTACTAAAGCATTTTAATAACTAGGAAAACCCAAGTATGGTAAAGGGCGTATTTTGCATGATAAACGTATTTTTTAGATATTTTCATATTTCGTAAAAATTGTCACATTTGATGCATATTTTGAGCAAAACCTTTTCATATACAGGGTTACTCAGGGCGATGGTAGTTTAGACATTTATGGAAAAACGGTGATAGTATTTTTTTGAATATTTTCAAAAGTTGGTATCTCTTGCAGTAATCTAAGGATCATTACGAATCACCCTATATATTATGTATAAATTTAAAAAAAACATATTTGGGTTTCCCAACTAATAACTAATAAATATACTGACGTAACTAGAAAAACTGGACTGACGTGTACCTGGATGGTGACTGCAAGGTGGCCCCTTGGTCAGCAAATCCAAACTTAGGAGCTGGAGCCGGTCTACTTGGGGGGCCAAAGTTTTCAACTGATACTGGGGCCGCGTTGGCGAACACTGGCCTTGGGGGTGCAGGAGCTGGGGAGAAGGCTGGCTTGGGGGCTGGTCTGGAGGGAATATTGAAGTCCTGCAGGGGTGAGAATGAGGGACCTGGAAGGAAAATTATGTAGAACTAGTAAAAAAAATATTTTAATGTTATAAATTATAAACCAAAATTTTCTGCATCAAATTATGTTTTTTTTTAACTCTCTTTGTTCTAGCGAGCTGTCTTTTTTTTTAAATAATTTTAATGCCATATTCATTATTTGTTTTTAAATCATTTTACGAAAGCTGACTTGAGACTTAAAATTTAAGTAACTTTCAAAATGATTTCTGATATAAATCTTTATTGCAAAATAGAAAAAGAATTAAATCCTTAAAAACGTCTTTTAAAAGATTTAAATCTTTTTATAAAAGAGTGACTTAAATGAGATTTTTATATATTTTTATGATAAATTAATTATTTAAAAAAAAAGGTTTTTGTAGACGTATCTGTCTACTAAAACCGTTGACGTTCTGTTAAAATGACATTATGTCAAGTTAAACTTCAAAATTAACAATTACTACCTGATAACAATTACTTAATAAGGTAAAACCAAAAAGCCCCAAACTTTCTGTATGATTACTAATTTTTACGTAGGTATGTTATGTTTATATATGTTATGTTCTTTAAAATCAAAGAAGCGTTTGCCATACATTACTAGCATCTACAGATTTTACCTTATTAAGTAATTATTGTTATCAGGTAGTAATTGTTAATTTTGAAGTTTAACTTAATTGATATAATGTCATTTTAAAAGTCAGAACGTCGACGTTTTTGTAGACGTATCTGTTTTAAAACACTAAAGTGTTCTCGAATAGTTGAATTTAAATATTTTAAATAGTTTTTTCTTTATTCTTTATAATTTTTTTGCTTCCGACGACGGAAAGAGATAAAATTTAAGCATTTTTTTGTTCGTTAGGCAAATTTTGTATACAGGGTGGCCCATCGAAAACGTTCCATAAGACATAACGGCCAGGATATTTTTTTTTTTCAAAAAATCCAAAAACACGTCAATTTTGTTTGTGAGGGGGACAACTTTTGCCCCAAAAATGATTGCAAAATATTCAACCCCCTAAGCGGGGGTGTCATCCCCCAACTTTTTTCAAATGGGAAGGGGGTCAAGTGGCACCGCAACGAAAAGAGCTTTCTATTATCTATATTTCCCTGCTTCGTTTTTGAAAATCGGTCGAATCATTGAGAAAATACGAAGGATTGAAATTTGAAAAGTTTATTTAAACATTTATCAGAGTAAATGATAAGGATAAATTCCTTCGACCGCAATTTGCTTTTTTTTCTTATTATTTCTAGACGTTTACGCATTTTTTCACTTGTCACAAGGTTGAACGATCAGGTGCGGTCTCAATATCGTTAAATAGAAAACAAATTTCTTGCAGTCGAGGTATATAATAAAATTATATAAGGATTCTTGCCACTTAACTGCTAATATAGAAATTTAATTCTACGCTGTGTTTGTCATAATGCGGATCAACCTGCTCTCACTACCGGTTTCGGAGCCCTACTCCATCATCAGGTGAGCTTGGGATTTACCTCTACTGCAAGAAATTTGTTTTCTATTTTTAAAATATTTTATGGGTATATGTGGGAAGGCAATGTGCATAATTGAAAATTATTTTGAAATGTACATCAATTTTGGATTCTTGGGCATAAAATAAGGCATTTATTATAAGGGTTTGGTTGTGAATCTTGTCGTTTTTGAGATATTTAAAGATATGTAAATATGCCTGCTGTAATAAAAAAGTTTGTCAACACTTTGTACATAACTTTTCAGAATTAATTCTTGTGCTGACTTTCAAGCCAGACAAATAAACTTTACTAAAAAATTTGATTGCTTCCTTAAATGTATACAGGGATATCAAAAATTGCTGGTCTATTTTAAATATTTATTTTACATAAAAACTTCGTTATTTCAAATGCAACACTGTGTATTTTTTTAAATAAGTCGAATCAGATTTAAAGGCTCTTTCAAACTATAATAGGGTTTCCTATACCTATCTGGCTCAGATTTTGAATAAAAAGCGATTTTTCAATAAAATTGTAATCAAGATGGCTGGTGTCGCCATGGCAATTTTTTGGTGACACTTAGTAGCTATTTTCAAAATCGACTTTAGTATATGGACTTTATTTAAATTTATATAACAGGTTATTTTTATTTAATTTACCTACGAAGGTTAATAACTAAGTATCAAAAAAAACGAAGCAGTATCTGCTGGTGGAAGGAATGGATATGTTACTAGTGATTTTATTTTGTGAGGACAATTGCTTGTTGGCCTGAAGGATTTTAATTTGACAAGTGTTCCTTTGAAAAACTACTTTTCCTATTTCGCAAAGCTGATAGTGTGGTATATTAGGCAGAAACCTGTCGCTGGAAGTGAAGAAAATTAATTTGCCTTAATTGGTTCTTTTATAGAAAATCCTTTTTGTAATTATTTTTATTTACCATGAATGGACAAGTCATCGTAATATAAATCAAAGAAGAAGAACTACTTCTTTATTTTTCTTGATAAAATAATCAATACTTACTTATTAAACTATGGTAAATTAAATAAAAGTAAACTAATGTCGATTTTGAAATTAGCTACTAACTGTCACTAGCAAATTGCCATGGCGATACCAGCCATCTTGATTACTATTTTATTAAAAAATCGCTTTTTATTCAAAATCTGAGCCAGATAGGAAACCCTAATATACTTTGAAAGAGCATTTAAATCTGCTTCGACTTATTTAAAAAAATACATAGTGTTGTATTTAAAATAACCAATTTTTTATGTAAAATACTACCTACCCCTGTATACATGTAAGGAAGCAATCAAATTTCTTAGTAAAGTTTATTTCTCTGGCTTGAAAGTTAACACAAGAATTAATCCCGAGAAGTACTGTACAGGGTGTTGACAAACTTTTTTATTATAGCATGCATATTTAAATATCTTTAAATATCTCAAAAACCAAAGCTTTTAAACATATTAAACCCTTATAATAAATGCCTTATTTTATATCCAAGAATTCAAAAATGAAATAAAATACCGGGTGTTCCATAAGAAAAAATATAACTTTGGTATGGATCTTAGTTTTGACACACCCTGTACATTTCAAAATAATTTTAAATGATGCACATTGCCGTCCCACATATACCCATAAAATATTTTGTTTCTACACCTTTCTGTTTTCGTATAATCAACCGAGGCGAATGAGGTGCGCCACCCTGTATAAGTTATACAATAGTTAATGCGTTAAGTACTTATTTACCCATGACACAGAAAAATAGGATATAAATAATAGATTAATAGAAAAACAGAAACGGAGATTTTTATTTAATACAGTCAACTTTTTATAGTTTTTTTATGAATGTAAGTATTATTATATTTTTACCACCCTGTATCAATTACTATAAAAATGCAAATAGAGCAAAAGCTTTTTTAAAAGATAGGAAACCATAATGTACTAAAATTTACATCAACGGTGAAAAGATGTTTTAATTACCCTTCTTCTGCTCTGAAAAGCATCATCCCTCACATAAAATTGCAAATATTTTAAAAACGATTAAAGTTCGATATAGAATATAGAATATTATACACAAAACAGGTTTAGAATTTCACGTGGAATCCAAAAAGTAAAAGATATTATGTACCAGAGTGCAAAAAATCATGATTTTTATAAAAAAAATTAAAAATCGATTTTTTTAATTTTAATCAATTTTTTTTTTTGGTTTTAATCGGATTTTTTAATTATTTTAATGAATTTTCTATTTAAAGTCCTATCCTAAATGGCTAAATATTTGTAACTCTGCCTGATATTGACAATATTAGCATTTCTACGGTGGGTGACGTTTTTCGATATCGGTGACCGATATATTTTATTCTGTAAACTTTGCCGCAAAAAAAAAGTTTTGGGTACCAAAAACAGAAAAAACAGTTTATCAATGTTAAATAAAAACACTAAATCACCACAATACACCAAAACACTTTTATTTTACACTGGACGCGCGTTTCGCTAACCACGTTAGCATCATCAGCAGATGATAATAAACTATTTTAATCTAACAGTTTATAATCATCTGCTGATGATGCTAACGTGGTTAGCGAAACGCGCGTCCAGTCGTTCTGTTAAATGACATTATGTCAAGGTTAAACTTCAAAATTAACAATTACTACCTGATAACAATTACTTAATAAGGTCAAAGCCCCAAACTTTCTGTATGATTACTAATTTTACGTAGGTATGTTATGTTTATATATGTTATGTTCTTTAAAATCAAAGAAGCTGCTTGCCATACATTACTAGCATCTACAGATTTTACCTTATTAAGTAATTATTGTTATCAGGTAGTAATTGTTAATTTTGAAGTTTAACTTAATTGATATAATGTCATTTTAAAAGTCAGAACGTCGACGTTTTTGTAGACGTATCTGTTTTAAAACACTAAAGTGTTCTCGAATAGTTGAATTTAAATATTTTAAATAGTTTTTTCTTTATTCTTTATATTTTTTTTGCTTCCGACGACGGAAAGAGATAAACTTTAAGCATTTTTTTGTTCGTTAGCTGTCCTCACTATTAAGCATAGGAAAGCAACAAATAAAGTCCGAAGTTCCAAGTTTAACCTTGATATAGTGAGCCAGTTGGTTTGCCGTAAAGGGAGATGGGATATTGGACACAACGACATAATGCCAGGCTTTTCTAATGGAGGGTTTGTGAGGTGGGGGAGTACTGACTTTAGAAGAAGTGACACCCACTGAGGCTTGGTAAAGGGAGCAGGTTGATCCGCATTATGACAAACACAGCGTAGAATTAAATTTCTATATTAGCAGTTAAGTGGCAAGAATCCTTATATAATTTTATTAATATCGTTAAACTGACCCACAATAGAATTTCCAAAAATACCAGCCCGCGACGATCAAAATCGTCTTCGTTGAGTTCTTGTACCAACTGAATTTTGTACGTGTGGAACTTGTGTTTTTTTAATAACGTTTGGAGACTTGTACGATTCACGCCGATCTCATTGGCTAATTTTCTTGTACTCAGCGTACTATCCATGGCAACTTGGCCCAATACGAATACCTCCATAGCTTCATTTACTACAGGATTTTCCCTCTGCCTCTTTTTATTCATAACGGAATCAGTTTCGTGAAATTTTGCTACTAAATCGCGAACAATTTTGCCATAAAGGTGTTTGCCAGGATGGCGTTCATTGAATATCTGCGCAAACCGATTGCCACATTCATTATTTTTAAAATAAAGTTCGATTATATCCACTTTTTCTGCAAGTGAGTACACCATAATTGTTAAAAAGTTTAACGATATTGAGAAGAACTTCAACGCACAAGTCACAGAACAGCTATCTAGCAACTACCGCACCTGATCGTTCAACCTGGCAAGTGAAAAAATGCGTAAACATCTAGAAATAATAAGAAAAAACAGCAATTTGGTCGAAGGAATGTATCCTTATCATTTACTCTGATAAATGTTTATATATACTTTTCAAATTTCAATCCTTCATATTTTCTCAATGACTCGACCGATTTTCAAAAACGAAGCGGGGAAATATAGAAAATTGAAAGCTCTTTTCATTGCGGTGCCACTTGACACCCCTCCCCATTTGAAAAAAGTTGGGGGATGACACCCCCGCTTAGAGGGTTGAAGATTTTGCAATCATTTTTGTCGCAAAAGTTGTCTCTCTAACAAACAAAATTGACGTATTTTTGGATTTTCTGAAAATAAAATTAACCTGGCCGTTATGCCTTGCGGAACGTTTTCGATGGGCCACCCTGTATTTGTAAACCTAACTTCTGACAAGCAGCGTCCGTTTAGGTTTAACGCAGAAGTGTTTACAAAAATTAACTATTTTATTTTGTAGATTTTCTTGCAGTGGCGATTTTTTTGGGATACGTTATATTGATTTAAGTTTTTTATGAAAATGACTTAACTTGGAAGAAAATGATTTAATACAAAGACTTAACTTTTAAATCATTTAAACTTTATGTTGAAATTGACTTAAAATTTGAATCGTTTCAATTTTAGAAATCACATGAGACTTAAAATTTAAGTCTTTTTGAAACTGACTTGTTGACAGCTCTGAATGTGGATAAACTACATATTTATTTATATCACGCTCTATGTCGAATATACCCACTGGCGTATGACCGCCAAGTGTCATACCACAGTACCGCTCTGAATATCAAGGCAAAACCGATTAAAACGCCCAGTATATTATACCTTACAATTAAAAACAAGTATTTACAGGAAGCACCTTAAGACACATACTCTTTCGCAATTTTTAACATATTATTGTATGTTCCACATTGCCAATGTTAATAGCCATGTATTAACTGATATTTTTTAACAGATTACGATATTATACAGGGTTGTTCACCACATACGACACTGAGTATTGTAGCTAAACGATGAGATTTTTACAAATTGTAAGTTTGGGGTTTGTTGAAGGACTATTAGAGCTACAATTTAAAAATATTTTTACAAGATACAGAGTGTCCCAAATAAATAAAAAATATCAAAGTTGTATTTTTTTTAAATGGAACACCCTGTATATTATTACATTTTTAGTTTCTAAGTTTAAATAAAAGTTAATTTGATTAAGGTTTATTATACTTAAACCTTACCGTTTTTGAAATATTTTCAATTTTGTGAAATTGCAGTAAACGGCAATAACTTCTTTAATTTAAATAGAATGCCCGGTATATTTTAGGAGAATCAGATGCACAATTAAATTGTCTATCAAATTGTATTATACCATTTTTTACCTATCCCTTCAAGTTTTCGTAGAAAATGCATTTTCTTATAATTTAGACCTCATTTATCAATATATCCATGGAATATTGACATTTTAGATTGTTTTTAAAGCAACAAATGTACAAAATGTAATAGACTAGTAATATTATCGTTTTTAGCAAAACGATAATATTACTAGCCCATTTGTATGCAAAAAGAAAACTATTTAAATCTTTATAAAAGAGTATACCATTAATTAAATATAACACCATTATTTCCGCCCATATACTAATTAATTACATACTTAATTGTGTTCGTTAATAAATTATTATAATAAATGTGGATTTGAGTCAGAAATCAGTATTATAATAAGTTATCAAATTAAAGTCTCTGTTGTTATAAATAAGCATTGATTAAAAAATGAAATATCATTTTTAAGGTGTTACTTTTTATCACACTGTCTAATGCCCATACAAAATTCAGTTTTTTAGTATTTGGAGCAATTATTATTAATCAACGTAAAGAGTCAGTTAATGTAGTTTGAATACTGGAATCATATTAATTGATCCTCTTTAACAAACATATAAACAGTTTTTTTTTATTTTTTAATTAAATAAACGAATTATATCGACAATATTAGTATCTGTACTCTTTAAAAATTTGGTACATCTTTAAAAATAATCTAAAATGTCAATAGTCCATGGGTATATTGATAAATAAGTTCTAATTTACAAGAAAAGGCATTTTCTACGGAAACTTAAAGAGATAGGTAAAAAATGGTATAATATAATTTGATAGACAATTAAATTGTGCATCTGATTCTTGTAAAATATACAGGGTATTCCATTTAAATTAAACAAGTTATTGCCGTTTGAAGCTAATAATTATTTAAAATAAATTTTTAGACACTCTGTATATTTAGTATTAAAAATTTCGATACCCTTGGAGAAATGAAGCCTTAAAATTTTTACTGCAATTTCACAAAATTGAAAATATTTCAAAAACGGTAAGGTTTAAGTATAATAAACCTTAATCAAATTTACCTTTATTTTAATCGTAGAAACTAAAAATGTAATAATATACAGGGTGTTCCATTTAAAAAAATACAACTTTGATATTTTTTACTTATTTGGGACACTCTGTATCTTGTAAAATTATTTTTAAATTGTACCTCTAATAGTCCTTCATCGAACCCAAAACTTACAATTTGTAAAAATCTCATCATTTAGCTACAATACTCCGTGTCGTATGTGGTGAACAACCCTGTATATCTTGTTCTGGTACGTACTTGGTGCAGGTCTTGGTGCGGGCTCGAAGGTTTGTGGAGCGGAGTATTCGATTGGTGCAGGCCTTGGAGCAGGTCGTGGAGCTGGTCTTGGAGCAGGTCTAGCTACAGGACCCGAAGAGAATTCGAATGTGCTGGTTGGGACAGGTTTTGGTCTAAAATTATCGAAAATCAATAAAATATTATGCACAAAACCGAATATAAATTCATGTTAAATAATATATAAAAAGCAACACTATTCGCACACTCCCCTTAATGTATACAGGGTGTAAAAGAAAAAATATTGTATAACACATCTCTAAGTGATACTTCACATAAAAATGAAAAAAAAGAGTTCGTATGTACCTATGCCCTAAAATACTTTTTGAGGAAGATTAATGTATATTTTTTACGTAAAAAAAAACATTTTTTTACAAAGCATTATTTCTTTACACCCTGTATTAATTTATTTTAAACCGCCCATACTAAAATATGTTAATAGAAAGTTGGTAGGCAGTTCTTTTAGTTTCAATTATCTCAAAAACTGCGACTTTGACTGATTTTGAAGTTATTATAAATTTTGTTGCAAATATTATTCCTAATCTTAAATTGAAAACCGCGTTTCGCTAGCTACTGTAATTTTGGAGTTACGATTTTTTAAAGTTTTTAACCCCCTCCCATACCCCCTTACCTACCTCCACCCCTACCAAAAGCTAATGGCCAGATTCTCGGGTGCCACAGTATTTTTGTGCCAAATTTGTTAAAATTGGTTTAGCGGTTTTTGAGTTACCGTGCTACAGACAGACGGACAGACAGAGTAAAATTAAAAAAGTTTTTTTTGTCGATCTTCATTATATATTATAATCGTATATCTGTTGATCTTATATTTGTTTATTGAAAAGTAAAAAGATCCTTTGTATTTTTAAAGTACCTGTATAAGGACATATAAACAGAAACATTATCTAACAAACACATATTAAAATATACATACATTATAAGCATTTTCAAACCTGTGAATACTGTACATATCATAAAAAAGGCTAAAAATTGAGCACAATATTCATGGCCTTATAATAATAATATTATACACTAAACCAGCTTTATCATAGTTTTTAAACTGTTAAAATTATAATAAATTATATTTTTTTAATATTAATTTTACAATTAACGTAAATTTCATCCTCAAATGGATTATTTTGCATGAATATACCTTGTAAAAGTAATAAATTTAAGTAGAGGGTTCGTTGTCTAATCGGCTGTTGATGTCTCTCAGTTTATATCAAACATTTCATAGAAATAGAATTATAAACTAAACTTTAGGATCTTTAAAGATTCTTTTTTATATTATCAGAAGGTATTTTAAAATAAAATTGTTTCTTAAAAGCGAAAAATTAACCTTCAGCATGCTGAGAGAGAAAAATACTGATTTCTGTCAAACTGCCTCCCAGACAGTCAAAAACTGTAATTTTTTAAACGGTTTTTTTTTACAACAAGCTCTTAGTAAAACCTCAGTTTATTATGTAACTTACGGTGATTACAGTTGAAGCTTTTGGTGTTACAAGAGCAAAATAAAACACTAATTCAGCGCAATACATTAAAACACCTTTCTTAGATTTCAAACCTTTATTTTCTCTTGAGCTCTTGATTGTAATAGGTCTGCAAAGAAAGATTCTCCGCTAATTTAATGTCTCTCTAAAATGCATGTTTGTTTTTAGAGCTTTTTAATTTTTTTTTTCATAGCAACTGTTAAAATTGTCTTATATCTATCAAAAATAGTAGATAAAATAGTACTTTAACCGCAAAGGTAGATTAAATAATACTTTAACAGCGAGGATAGGTTAAAAACTTTATTTCTTCCCGCACGTTTTTTAATTGCTTCCATTTTTGTATTCCTTTTCATAAGTTATTCGGGATTTAAATGGAAGTAGTTTGGATATGGCGTTTGTCGTCTCAGCCTGAGGTAATTTACTTATTTCGTATTGAGCCATTTCTGGCTCCAATTCAATCAGCAATCGACACGAAATAGAATTAAAAAATATTGACTCAAAACTGACAACTAAAGAGACAGCTTTATTTATTTGTCAAATTACATAGAAACGAACGCCAACCCAGCACAATATTTTTTCTTCTCGTAATAAATTTCTTGAAATAATAATTTCTGAATATTTTTTAAAACGTAACTCGCTATGGAAAAGAATATTGTTTTATACACGACGATAAAATTGCATTATCGTCTTGTATAAAAACTAATATTAAGCTTGTTATTTGAAGTGGACATCTCTCTCTTAACAAATTTTGAATTGATAACCACAAACATATTACTTTGAAAAAGACACGAATATTCACACTCTACAAGTTTTTTGTGTGTACTGGTAAATTAGTGTTTTTTTTACTTTTTATTTTTATTGTGCAACTTACGCTGATTGGGCCCTCAAACTCCCTTGCTGAGGCTCATCCACAGGCTGATAATCGTACTCAGGCAACAACTCCCCATTTTTATCAGTCGTCTCATCAACTAAAGTCGGTGGTGGCACAGTGATTCCCTCCCCAGCAGGAGCAAACCCGTACTTGGTAGCACCATATTCAATAACTCTGACTTTTCCAACATCATCAACATAACCATACTTTCCCTTAACCTCTCCAGTGGGAAGTTTGGTTTCGATCTTGAACGAACCATCGGCAGATTCGTAACCGTAGGTATATGAGCCATCGTCGTTGTGCCTGTCAATTTGCTTGATGATGGGCACTGGAGTAGGTCTTGGAGCTGCTGAAGGACCTGAGTAGTTTGGTTTTACACGTGGGGGTGCTGGTCTTGGTGGAGCAAAGTCAAAGTCTTGTGCTAGGGTGTGTTGTGTGGCTAATAAAGCCACCACAACAAACTAGAATAAAGAAAGGAATGTATTAATATCAATTTAGTAGTTTCAAACAACTTATTATAATATATGTTGGAGGCAGATGCCGAATTCGGCCCATGTCCGAAATAATTAGACATATGGCGATTTGTTCATACTAAACTTGCCAAATGCGTGCAACTTCGTGGTTATAAATAGTCTTTATATAACTTTTTTGCAGAGGGGGTTAATCTTTTTTTTGGTATACTATTGTAACGTTTTTAGTTCGTTACATGTCTTTTTTATATATAATATATGATGTCTGGCCTATCATCACCGGATTCCCTCTCGTTCAGGCCGGATAGTTTATTTGACGCGTAATTTTTACGTTCCCTAGTCGCCAACCCTGTTAGCGTTCGACACAACCCTGTTATTGCTCTGAGGAGGCGCTGTCAACATCGCTTCTGTCAACTGTCTCCGTGCTTAACTTCACTTTGTTTTGACGCTCTGTTGTATCCCAGCTTTTGGAAATGGTGATTATTTAAGTCTTGCTGTATAATTTGTATCAGCTGCTACTTCGAGGCTACAGGTAAAGATGAGTTATTACCTTTTATAGATTCGATATTATTATTGAATATTTTTAGGGTAGAGTTACGGATGTCTCAACTTGTATTTGTGTTTTGCTGGCACGTTGGCGTCCCTTTTCTTTTGTCCTCCAGAATGTCACATGGAAGAAAGGACATGTTGTTTATTATTTATTGAGCCCTCTAAGTATTTCGAGGTAGGTTTTTGTTTATTAGACCTTGTTTGGTTTTAAACAAGAGTTTCATATTTTTAGGGTCCAAGGTACGGACTGTGTCCAAGGTACGGACTGTGTTTAAGGTACAAACTGTGTCCAAGGTACGGACTATTTCCAAGGTACGGACTGTGTCCAAGGTACGGACTGTGTCCAAGGTACGGACTATTTCCAAGGTACGGGTAGTGTCTTATGTACAGACATTATCTTATGTACAGATGTCCTGTGGACGAGGGTCCCCAGTAAGAATGATTTTTTTTCTTACATATAAGTGCCACAGCGTGGATGTAGCTTGAGTCCCATGCTGCTTCACTCCCATTTCTAAGCCTAGTCAGTAGCTACGGCTGTAGTGATTCATGGTGTCCTCAATCTGGCCTCTTTTGTTGTTTTGGCCAACAGGATCGCCGACAGACAGTACAGAGATGCTAGACCACCTCACGCTGCTACTGTTTGAAGCAAGGTTACATAAAAGAACAGCTAAGTGTATATTTAAGTTCTAGTTTTACATTTAACATCTAAAACATTTTCAGTCTTAAACAATAACGTACCTACATCTTAAGTAATATCGTACAGACTATGTTCAGTGGTTAGATTGTTAAGAACATTCATGTCAATATAATCTTTAAAATATAATTTAGATCTTAGGTTTCATTGCATTACGTCTTTTAATGGTATTACTTTTATAGATATTATTGCACTATTTTAATAGATGGATAATCAAACATAGATTCTAGAATCTACAGGTTGTAACATCTTCGATTTAGCATCATATGGAATATATCAAATTAATTAAAGTAATGCTACATTTCATATTTTCTCTTAAACTTTACACGTCCTGTATTTTATCGTAGTTGTTTTCATTGATATTTAGTACGACTCTTACCACCACTTTCTTTGACATAAACCACTATATATTTACTAGAACTCTACAATGTCATGTATCAGCAAAGAACGTCATGAATAAATATAGTCATTAGTTTTAAGTATTATACAACTGTGTTTTCTTTCTCTGTACATGCCTGGCGCCCAATATCTATATATCTTTTGTTAATTATTACTGATTAATTTTCTCTCTAGTGAAATACCTTATCCACCACTGCTCTCCGATGAAAAGCTGCCGTTCGCAGTGGTAGTGGTTTAAAAAACGCTACACTATAATAACAAAAGATTAACACCCTCCGCATAGAAGTTGAAACCAATGCAATCAAAACTCTTCCGCTTAACTTTGTAGATATAGGTAGATAAAATCCTTAAGTGACTGACATACTGATTAATCACGATCCTGCTCAAACCACTCAACGTAAGAAGCTCAATTATGGCATACAGGTTGATTCTAGGGTGTAAAGGTTCGATAAGAAGGGATTTTTCGAAATTCCAGTTCCAAGAGGGTGAAACCACCCCTCAAATATTACAATATTTTTATTTAAAAAACGGTCAAGTTTCCGAAAAAACGCTTAAACACGTATATTTTATTTTGTTTTTTTACATATTTTAAGATTTTTTAAAAATGTATACAGGGTGTTTCGAAAAATCTGGTCATTGATTAATCACGATCCTGCTTAAAGCGCTTGACGTAAAAAGCTGATTTTTGGAAAACAGATTGGCTTTAGGGTCTTTAGGGATTTTTCGAAACTCGAATTCTAAGGGGATGAAACTATCCCTCAAATATTAAAATATTTTTGATTTAAAAACCGGTGAGTTTTTCGGAAAAACTCTTAAACGCGTATATTTTATTGTGTTGTTTTACATATTTTAAGATTTTTTATAAATTTATACAGATGTTTCATAAAATATGACCATTGAGTAATCACGATTCTGCTTAAACGGCTTGACGTTTAAAGCTGATTTTTGCCAAACGGATTGACTGTGGGGTGTAGAGGTTCGATAAGGAGGGGTTTCTCGAACCTCAAATTCCAAGAGGGTGAAAACGCCCCTCAAATATTACAATATTTGTTATTGAAAAAACGGTTAGTCTTTCGGGAAAACGCTTGGAAAAGCATAATTTATTTGGTTTTTATACATATTTTGAAATTTTTTAAAAAATCATACAGGGTGTTCCAAAAAGTTGGGTAATTTCTTAACCACGATTCTTCTTAAACTGCTTGACGTAAAAAGCGTATTTTTGGCAAAGGGATTTTTCGAAAGTCAAATTCCAACGAGATGAAACTACCACTCAAATATTACCAAGTTATATAATAATATCGCCATATTGTTTTTTCTCATGCTGACATAAATGTGAGAAAATTTTATCCAGTTTATATGTTTATGGAAATTCTTGCTTTGCTTTATCATCACCATTACAATTGATTAATTCGACGCGAACGAAGTATACGCTAGTTACAATATATTATGTAGTATGGCTGTGATATTTTATGGATGCGTATCCATCTTCTAAGCAGTAAATCGAATCTCACGATTCATTTTTAATACTTATTCAATTGACTCTAGAAGGAAGTGCAAAAATAACTGAATCAATAGCATAAAGAATCACACCAAGGAAAGCCGGGTAGATTACTTTGTTACAATACTTATTATTACTTCCAAGATCACAATTTCGCAATAACGGGGCGACTGTACATAACTTGACACTCCATTTCTTACATAAAAGCCTGTTTGTTCTAAACGGAATTTCTAAAATTGTATCTGGCAAAAGGAATTAATTCAGATAACTTTGCATGTATTAACCTTGTAAAACGCCACTTAATGCTCTACTTCTTTTCATTTGCGGTCAGATATTATTCGCGAAGGCGTATATAACGTTATATAAATATACTTTTACACCGAAAATGTAGATAGCGATCGGAAACAATACCAAAATTATACAGATTGTCCAAAAAATTTAGTCATATAAGAATTAGAGCCGTAAATCTAAATAAATAAAACAAAGTGAGGTTAAAGAAGCAGTAGACTCTAAAAGAAAGATAAAAGAGGCTTTTTTAATACAATCTAATAAAAATAAATGTATTGCTCATGCATCTGTAGATGTTAGTAATGTACAGCAATCGCGTTTTTGATTTTAAAGAACATAACATAAATAAACATAACATACGTAAATATTAAAAACAAATTAAAAATAATCATTCAAAAAGTTTGAAGATCTTTAGTTTTAACTTATTAAATAATTGTTTTCCAATTACTAAAAACACTTGGAGGAAAATTATAATAAATAAAAAATAATGAAGGCTTTACCCCCTGTATTTATGAAGCCAAACCAAACTTTTACGTGGGGAATCTCTCCATGAGAGATGGACCATGTTTTTTGAAACACCCTGTATACTCAGAACGAATTAAATTTTAACTGTTCTAAAACAATGCATGCATTTTGTACAAGCACATTCCAATTAAAGGTCTGAACCAGTTATTAGCATATCCTGGGTTGGCCGAAAAAACCTTCGACATAACTACAACCAAGATCGTCAACTTTTGATAAAACTGCAGCCTTTAATTCAGATCAAGGAAGTGCGAGATTTAAGCATAATTCTCCATAACCACGCCTTTTAAATGATACAATAAAAAAAAACGGCGTCATAGAAGGCTTAGGCATGATAATCGATGATAATTTCGGCGAGGTTAAGCTCTAGACACGTCATTTACGTACCATTACGGGAAACTATTTTTTTGGAAATAGATGTGTGTCTGTAAACATTCTATCCTTCTTTAATCATATATCTTTATGTCAATTTTTAGTAATTAACGTCTAGAGATTGACCTAGCCAAAAATATCATCGATTGTCATGCCTCAGCCGTCTTTGACGCCGTTTTTTTTTTCGATCGTACGATACAATTATGAAAAATTAAATTATATTATCATAAACTGGAAAATAACAAAAATATGCTGTAAATTTGGTCTTATTCTGATTTTTTTTTTACTAAACGCGGTTTTTTTTTATTTTGAATCAAAAATTCAGTACAGGATACGGTCGGGTTAGGTGTGATATGGTACTATGGTACCATTTACCACGCCCATAAATACGTGTTACCGTCCCCATGACTATGGGGATATATTAAAGGTCATATACCAGTTTTTTAATTGATATTGTTTCTGTTATGTCGAGTAGTACTTTTAAATTTCTGCTTTTGTCTTAACTTTGACAAGTTGAAACGAATGCTGTGCCTTTATTTGATGTTGACAGTCAATAAATAATGATATAAATTGCTTTTATATTCACTCTTTTCTGTACAGAGTGCCTCAAAATGAACTGAGAATTATGTTAACGAGATTCTCTATGTTAAATGTCTAATAAAATAATATAACTTGTGTTTTAGAGAAACAAACATATTTTTAGTTTATCAAGCAGTCCCATAGTTCATTATTAGACATTCAATTATTAAAACATTAAAAGAATAGAAAATACATCTCTATAAAATGATACCAACTGTGGAGCTTATAGAAAACTATTTGAGAAGAAAGTTTGCTATTAGTCATTGTTACATTACACACCCTGTATAAATTTTAACAACTCAAAATATTAAATTTTCTCCCCATCTTGGTGTGTCTCAAAAGTGGCTCACCCCTATAACGTTTTTATTTTTCCAGATAAAATAACGAGATTTGGTATGTTAGTATATGACCGAGTTACCATATGTCAAAAGTTGACATATGATATGTCATTCTATTCAGAGCGTAATTTTCTATCGAATGAAGTAAAAAAATACTGAGGGTGCCATTTAAAAATCTAAAGTTGTAGTCATTTCCGGTGAAACAGGAAGTGACCGAAAACAATTGAATACGTCAATCAATCCTAATTTATGTCATGTACTAACATAGCTAATCTCGTTTTTTAACTAAAAAAATAAAAAAGTTATGGGTGTGAGTCACTTTTGGGACGCACAATATAATATATTGTATAAAAAATATACTGTATAAAATAAACCATTCTTCTCATATATAGGGTGAGTCTAAAATAAATGCAAATATTTTAGGGGTAGTACATTTCAAATGCAGAAACACGTCTATGAGGTTTTTTCGCCAAAAAAAAAATTAAGAATTTGTAATTTTTCCAAAAAAAAAATTTTTAGTTAAAAACATAATATCTTGATAATATGGCAACATGGTAGTAGATTAAATTTTCAAAAAAGAAAACCCAGAAAATAACCCCCTAACTTAAAATTTAAGCAGCAAAAATTTTTTAAGTAAAATAACTCCATTATTTTGGACTTTTTGAAAAACGGCAAAAAGAAAATATGTTTCTTTTATCGAGATCTACCAGCCCTGAACATATTTGCACTTATTTAAGACTCACCCTGTATAGTTAACAATATTTAAACAAATTGCTAATAATCCATTTTTCTGATACACACTGTATATACTAATATAAAGGTACCAAATAGTGTATTCAAGTATTTTCAAATAATTAAATATGACATCTTCACAAAAGAATTAATCAAAAAGCAAAACAAAAATAATTAGGGCAGTGAATATTTAAAAAAATGTGTCATGGTATGCATGTAGGTTAGTGTAACTGTAACGGAAAAAGTACTCACGTATTTCAACATGTTTGGCGATTGATTTGCACCGCACTGAAGTGGCGCGGGGGGCCGTACCTTTCCTTTTTATAAGTGCGCCACGGACAAAAGTAGGGGGCAAGGTCCCCAACATGCCGGTCACTGTCTTTCCTGTCATTGCTATTGAACCACCGGAACGATTTAAGGAAGAAACCCTTGGATTTTTTGATTTTTACGCCGGTTCTTCTTTTTTTGGCAACCAAGAAAACGTTAAAAACAAGTTATTTTATCCTGTTTTTATTTTAAACAGGATTTTTTTATATTTAAGTGCCCTGAAAGACATCTAAATCAATGTCAATTGAAGGCAAGTTTTTATAGAAGGGGTAATTACCCTCATTACCCCTCCCGTATATGCGCTTCTGGTGTACTAGTAAAAAACCACTAACATGCTGACTTCCGTTAATGAAATAATGGCGAATATACAGGGTGAGTCCAATTATTCCCAAATTATTTTATTTCGAAAAAAAACTTTATTTGAAAATATTTTATATTTTTTTTTGCTATTTTATATTATACAGGGTGAGTCTTAAATATGTGCAAATATTTTTAGGGGTGGCATATTTCGATCCCAGGAACTTTAAAAAATATATACAGGACGAGTCTTAAATAAGTGCAAATATTTCCAGGTCTGGTAGATCTCGATAAAAGACACATATTTTCTCTTTGCCGTTTTTCAAATAAATTCAAAATAATTCGATTTCACTTTCCAAAAAAAATATTTTTTGCTAAAATTTTAAGAACGACTGGATCTTTTCGGGATTTTCTTTCATATAAATTTAATCTACTACCTATATTGCCATATTATCAAGAAATTATGTTCTTTAACTAAAATCTAAAACATTTTTTTGCGAAAAAAACCTCGTAATCGTGTTTCTGGAGTCGAAATATACTACCCCTAAGAATATTTACACTTATTTAAGACTCATCCTGTATATATAATACCCAGAATAATTTTTAAGAAATAAATAACAAGACAGAGTGAAATAAAATACAAAATAAAACACTAATAAACCACTTGCTAACATGGTAAGCGAAACTCGCATCCATTAAAAGTAAAGTATTTTGGTGTATTGTGGTGAAATAGTGTTTAATTTTGCTGTTGTAACACCAAAGATTCCAACCCCCCAACTGTAATGTAAGATAGAGTTAAACAACATTCTAAAGAAAAAAAGTTTTTGTGTTAGATACCTACACTTGAAGAAAAGTTAATTACTTTCTTTAAAATACATTGTAAACGTAATAGTAAGCACTGTTTACTCATGGCAAGGTCTTTAATCATATTTATCGAGATAATTTTGACTTTTTCACGAACTTTCTCTTCAATGCCGAATGCGGATTGATAAAAATCAAAGTTAGGCAACTGGAACGATTCTTTTTAGGACATTTTCTTAGATAATATACTCTCTGTAATTGTTATATCATCAAATACGACATAAAGAATATTTGGTTATGTTTATTTTTGTAGTACCATACGATCGAAAAAAAAACGGCGTCAAAGACAGCTGGGTAATTACAATCGGTGATAATTTTGACGAGGTCAAGCCCTAGACGTCATTTCCTTGGGTCATACTCCTTTTTTCTTCGAGGTCTATCCTTGTTGTACTGTCGTCTAGAATTTCGTTTTATTTAGAACAGGCATCTAAAAGTTATTTGCAAAAATCTACCTTCAAATTACTAAAAATTTATAATAGGGCCCAGAAAAAACTACATTTAAAATACCAGCAAAAATATGATTTTGTCATTGTCAAATTCGATGTCATATTTTTGTGTTTCCTGCTGTTTGGAAAAGGTAATTATTTTTTTTTCTGAATTGGAATTTATCGTCGTGTATAAAACAATATATTTTTCCACAGCGAGTTACGTTTTAAAAAAAATTCAGAAATTATTATTTCAAGGAATTTATTACGAGTAAAAAAAATATTGTGCTGGGTTGGCGTTGGTTCGTTTGGTTTTAATCTGACAAATAAATAAAGCTGTCTCTTTAGTTGTCAGTTTTGAGTCAATATTTTTTAATTCTCTTTCGTATGGATGGCTGATTGAATTGGAGCCAGAAATGGCTCAAAACGAAATAAGTATATTAGCAACAGATATTCAGGCTGAGGCGACAAACGCCATATCCAAACTACCTCCATTTAAATCCCGAATAACTTATGAAAAAGAATACAAAAATTTTCAAAAACGGAAGCAATTAAAAAACGTGCGAGAACAAATAAAGTTTTTAACCTATCCTCGCTGTTAAATTATTATTTATTCTACCCTTGTTAAAGTACTATTTTATCCAGTATTTTTAATAGTTATAAGGCTATTTTAACAGTTACTGCTTCTTGAGGTACAGCCCGCCACGCTGCATTCACGGCCCGAACCAGATTCCTACGAGTTTCACGACGCATACCCATTCTCAAAATTCTTCTTTGGACCGCGTCCCATACGGGCTCGATGGGGTTGAGGTAAGGAGATTGTGCCGGCCAGGGTAAGATGTTTAATTGATGAGCATTGATAAACTCACTTACCACTCTGGCTGTATGAGGCCGTGCATTGTCATGCATGAGAATGAAGTTTCTCCCAAAATCATTGCCATATGGTAACACGACAGGCTCAAGAATTAAATCACGATATGTGATTCCTGTTAGAAACTTTTCAAGAAAAACGAGATCGGTTTTTCGGCCTAACTGGACTCCTTCTCAGACCATAACTGTTCCACCTTGATAAGGGTGCACTTCCTGAACATGATCCAACCGAATAAGATTTCCCGGTTCTCTCCATACCCTAAGCCTTCTCGAATCCGGATGAATTCCAAAGCGTGACTCATCCGTGAAGAGAACATTGGCCCATTGTTCATTCGACCACTGAACATGATCTTGAGCCCACAAATATCGTACCTCTCGATTTCCTCTCGTTAAGGGTTGAGCTCTCCAGGGGCGTCCGCTTCTTAAGTTGACCTCTCTTAATCTATTGTGAACAGTGTCAGGACTCACGGTTACATTATGTGTTTCCTGGAGAATTAAACTAAGCTCTGGTGCTGTAAGAGTCGGTCGGCGTCGAGCATTTAATTGTAAAAAATGATCTTGCTGAGGGGTAGTAATGCGATGTCGCCCTGTGTGCCTTTCAGCAACATCGCCACTTTCACGGTAGTGTGCACTTAATCGCGATATTACACTTTGCGTTGTATTTAATGCTCTAGCTACGTCGATTTGGCGCATTCCAGCTTCGAGCATAACCATGGCCCTTAGCATTTCGTCTCTGTTAAGATATCTACGCTCCATAATGTCGTTTAATACTAAACAGTGTTATCTGAATGAATTCTGGCCAGTTATCATAAAAACATAGCCAGTACATGTTAAATTCGAACAATTGATGCTAGGTGCTTTTTATACATTTGACAAAAAATTCACAAACACTTCTGCAAATATCCCATATTTAGAAATAACTAGTGTGACTACTTCGTTTCAATCGAAGTAGAAAGAATCGGCCTACAAATATGTGGTTGTTTATTCAATACATTTATTTTTAACTTTAGTAAAATTATATCCCTAGATTTTTCCGGTGTGTGTAGTTGCTTTATTTTAAAACAATAAAAATACTCCTTCACCATTTCGTCCAGAAACTTAGTAGTAAAGAATTAAAAAAATTAGCATACACCTACATTTGTATAAGTACTTTCATAACAAGACGTAGGATATAGAGCATGAACCATATGCATTGTATTTTACATTTTTCCTTCAACCATATACCATACACATTTTCATTTATCTCACCACATATATCTCCTTTCAAGCTATTGTGTTTAATCCCATTCCGAAACCTCCAAATCGTACGTTACTGTACCTCGTACCGCCTCTGGTTTCAGGAACAACTTAAGACATATAAAAACGGGTCTGTAAGGTGGTACTACATTCCGTAATCTCAAGGTTCCGGTACAACCTAGCCAGCCAAACACACCCTATTATGTCGCATTCTCAATATCCGTCACAGGTGATACAGGGTGGGGTCATTTTTCTGTACCAGGTAGTACCGATTAAAATAAAACAACATTTTTTTAATACTAAAGGTATTTATTTATTTCCTATCACACAGCATACAAAATCTTATAAGTTATAGGTCCTTAAAACTATGGCAAAAAGGTTTTTTCTCTTAAATAAGGCATCAGAATAAGACTAGGATTACATAGGTACAAGAAAAAAGTATTTACAAGTCTCTTTTGAAAGTTTATCTATAGTTAACAGTGTAACTTCCAGTCCAGATATCAACATTTTGAGCTGGACTTCCCCTAAAAGCATTGAATCCAGGATAGTTTTGGGGGGATGGGTTCCAGTAGCTTGGTTGAGGTGCGGCGTAGTTGTATTGAGGTGGGGGCGAATAGTTATTGACTCTATTATTGTAATAGTCGTTATACCTAGGAGCTGGAGGGTTATATACAGGTGCAGGGGGTTGGTAAGTTGGGGTATAAGCTGGTTTTGGTGGGGTATATGCTGGCTGAATTGCTTGAGCAGGTCTGGTGTAAGTTGAAGGTGTGTAGCTCATTTCGTATGATGGTCGTTCGTATGAATTATACGAAGGAGATTTGGGAACAAATTCTGGATCGTTTTGGTAGTAAATCGCTGGGTCTTCACGGTACTGTCCATCGTCCTCTTCATCAGGACCCAGAGGTCTTTGAGCGTCTTGGCTTTGAACCAATGTGGGAGGTGCAACCTAGAAAACATCTTAGATTTAGCAAAAAAACTTTTTGTAAAGTTTTTAAGGTACTTACAGTAACGTCGGTACCAGCTGGTTCAAATCCACGTTTGCTAGCACCGTATTCTACCTCACGAAGACTACCCCTGTCGTCTATGTACCCGTATTTACCATAAACCTCTCCTGTGGGGTATTTAGTTTCGATTTTGTAGGTACCGTCAGCGTTTTCGTACCTGTAAGGAAGAAAATGTTTTTTTTAAATGTTTTTTGAGGTAAATTTTGAGAAATTTTGTACCCGTAGCTGTATGAGCCATCGTCGTTATGCTTGTCGATTTGTTTCAAGATTGGTACTGGGGTGGTGTATGGTCCTCCTTTTTGTGCAGAAGAATATGCTACAACTGCTAAAAGCAGTACCTGTAAATAATGAAAAATAGTGTATAATCAGTTTTTAAGTTTTGTAAGCTTCTATGATGGAAATATTTATTTAAAGAAAGTAATATTCTGGTTATAATAAAAATTAATTTTTATTATTTTTGAAATTATTCCAAAAAAGTTAAATGTTACAAGCCTCTTTGTGTTTTTTGGTATTTTTTATCTCTAAGAGATATTCCTGATTGCTACTCTTCAAACGTTCACCCTGTATACAGGGTGGGTCTTAAATAAGTGCAAATATTTTCATTTTTTTTAAAGCATCGCGATAAAAAAACATATTTTCTCTTTGCCGTTTTTCAAAATTACCCACTTATTTTTTTCTGAAAATTAAAAAAAAATATTTTTTACTTAAATTTTGAGAACCACTGGATTTTTTCGGGATTTTGATTTCTCTAAATTTAATCTACTGCCTATATTGCCATATCCTCAAGATATACAGGATGAGTCTTCTTTTTTGCGCTAAAAAATTTGAAAATTTGGAATTTTTTGAAAAAAAAAATTGGAAATGTTTGTAGTTTTTAGTTAAAAACATAATTTCTTGATAATATGGCAACATAGGTAGTAGACTAAATTTACAAGAAAGAAAACCCAAAAAATATAAAGTGGTTGTCAAAATGTGCAAAAAATCATTTTTTTTTTAAATTTTGAAATTAAAATACCTCGGTTATTTTGGACTGAAAAACGGTAAAGAGAAAATATATGTTTTTTATCGAGATCTACCAGCCCTGAAAATATTTGCACTTATTTAAGACTCGCCCTGTATATATTTTTTTAACCTAAAAATAAGATACATGTTTTTTTGTGAAAGTTCCTGTGATGGAAATATGCCACCCCTAAAAGTATTTGCACATATTTAAGACTCACCCTGTATAATATAAAATAGCTAAAAAAATTATAAGATATTTTTAAATAAAGTTTTTTTAGAAATAAAATAATTTGGGGAATCATTCGTCATACCCTGAAAAGTTTAATCGTTTTATAATAAAACATCCTGTATGTAAAAAAAATCTGATCATGACATTGTATAAATTTACTTGTGTTATTATATAATAATTTATTTACAAAAAAAGAGAGTAAAGTGTCCTTGCAGATATTTCTAATTCAAACCAGTAAAATTATAAATAAAACTGTTTTTCCTTAAAAAAAATATATTATGAAAATTGAAAGATTTGAAAATCTTTTACTGCGTAATTATTTATTAAAAATAAGACTAAAAAAGAATCAGAATAAAAAATTATATTTAAAAAACACTGATTTTAATGTACTGGGTGTTTTTTTTAAATTAACTGAGGGACACGAAAAACTCTTTATTTAAAGAGGGTTAATTTGGAGCGTACTTACGAAAATCTTCATGTTATTTGACCAGTGACAGCGCGTGTGAAACAGCAAAGTGGTGAAACAGCCGCGCCTCTTGTTGTTCTTGGGTTTTATACGTCGCCCGCCCCACAAGAATTATAGCAAGGTCAACTGATTTCCGATGAGATATTTGGTCACTAATTTTTCCGGAAAAATAACAGTGGGAAGAGATTTTTGTCAGTAATATATATTTTTTATTATCTACTTATGTTATATTTAAAAAAAAATGAAAAAGAAATAATGATCTTATAGAAAAATAAAGTACAATACGATCGAAAAAAAAGGCGTCGAAGACGGCTGAGAAATGACCATCGATGATAATTTTGTCGAGGTCTAGCTCTGGACGTCATTGCTTCCTTACTCTTCATTATTTTTTAACGGAGCTTACCGCCAGTTAAGAAGGTTGTAATTTATTTTTGTACTGAGTAAAATTATTTTTAAATGGTGTAGTTTAAAATTCGAGAATTTTTTGAAGTATACAGGGTGGTCCAAACTGTATTCCGGAAACTTTGGCAGCATACCCTGCAGATAAAAATAAGTAAAAAAGTTCATATAAATGTATATCCTAAAAATGATGAGTTTCGGAGATACAGGGTGTAGAAGTTTCATTCTTATTTCGATTTTTTCCAAATAGTTTCTGAAGTAACATCAGTATTTGGATGAAAATTGATGTCTGGGAGTTTTTTGATATGGGAAATTTGATTATGATGTCAATATGACTTCTACTTGTACAGGGCGCCACGTACATATTTTTTAACTGGTTTGAAGAGTAATAACTTTTCATCCGTACCTGTATAAAACTACTGAGTAAAAAAATATACATTTACGACGTTTTTTACGTAAAAAGTGTATCTTGGTAAAAATCACAACGAGTAATGGTTCTCGAGATATTTGGAATCGAATTTTTATATGCAGAATATGCTGCCAAAGTTTCCCGAATACAGTTCGGACCACCCTGTATATCTATATCTATTATTTTTTAATGGGGATTACGGTACTAAAATAAATTTTAAATAATGTAGTTTTGTGAGTCTGAAAACGTTCTATCCTTTTTTAATCTCTCCATAATTATATTTAAGTTCATTTTTAACAAGTTTTATGTCAAATTATTATCGATCGTCTTCGACGCCGTTTTTTTTTCGATCTTGCTATTATTTCCTTTTCAATTTATCTGTAATTTTATTTCACTCTAACTGTTTAATATTATAAAAACATGCATTATAAAAATCTAATGTCAAACACACATTTCTTCATGTAATTTATTCATACCCCACCCCCAAAACATTTAATAAATTTATTCCATTCCAATAAAAATAAAATTATTTTTTCACAAGAAACCAAACCAAACCAAACAAAAAGATAAATTAAATTTATATTCATCTCGTTTATTGATGTTATTAATTGATAGTTCTAAATGCCAGAGAACACCCAGTATTATTTGTCTGTAATGATTTGAAATATGCAGAGTAAAGGTCATTTGAAAAAAAAAATTACAAGAGGATGTAGATAGGAAATACATGAAAAAAAATCTGTCTACAAATTGCATTATTTTTTTTCTAATATTAGGTAATAATTTATAAAATTATAATTAAATCGGAGTAAGTATTAAAAAACCTCGAAAATATTTAGATCTTTATAAATCTAGATCAAGATCCTCAATGAAACAGGTGGAAATCTATGTAACTTGGGTGTGTCGACCTCCAAGAATAATTTCCAAAGTCGTTTAGATAGTTTTCAAGTAAAAATATCTTTCATACTGATTTACATAACATATTCATTGGTAATATATCCCTGTAAGAGACTGATTTAACTAGTTTTTGTATCACCGTAATATAACTCTTATTTAATACATGTTTATCATCATTTTTCATCATTTTTCAGCTTTTTCAACCATTACCAATTATGGTGTAGCGACGGCAGTCTTGCTCAGTTATCTGTATATTTATTTCAAGTCAGTACTAGAAAAGGAAATGTCTCTTATCAAGCTTCATTAACAACAATCGACATTATCTCTTTCAATTACCTGATGCGTATACTAATTCTATTAATTCATGCATTAGCAAAAATTCGCTGTTGAGTTCCTTTCACTGAGCAATATGGGCCTTTCGCAAACCAAACGTTTCGAAAAATTGACATTTGTATGCTGTGGAATTGCCGTTTTTTGACCACGCCTAGTTAGTGAGAAAATCAAAAATAAAATCACTTTCTTTTGAATCAATTATTGAGAAATATCATGACTCAAGACATTTTTTTCGGGTATTTTATGAACTAGTATGTGCAAGGAATGTTGAAAATAAGGAAGTCATTGAAAAGATGCCGAAATTTGTAAATCTATTTTGGGCTCTGGTGCACAATAGGTCCCCACGCATTTAACACTTTTTTGGGATTTTTTTGCAAGATTATCTTAAACTGAATATTTTTAAGCATAAAAATTGTTGGATGAATGCGTTTTATCTTTAAAAAGCGGCAAAAAAACGTATTTTAGGTACAGGCGACGGACAGTAAATATGTTAAATTTTCTACACGGATTCAGTAAAAACATCACATATTAGTACTTTATTACCTTATATAGACGTGGAATGATCTAATTTAAGCACAAAAATGTAACGAATCTTCTTTGTAAGCATAAAAATTAAGAAAATATATTTATTTACATCAGCTCAAGCTAGCAATTTTATGACTTTTTCGATTGACAGTTAATCGATCATCGGTATGTCATCTATGGCCTTCGCATAGAATTTGCGACGTTGTCAATAAAATTACTTTATATGATTTTCTTCTGAAATAAAGTTGTTGTGGAGGGACTTAAAACGGTAAGTTATCACTTTAGTGCAACAAAAATTGAACTGTCTAGTAGCTTATTCGTTAGTGTGGATTATTTTAAAGCAATTTCTGAAATAAAATTTGCGGATTTTTCAGGTTCTACGAAAATATAAGTTTTTTTAATATATACTGTTTTTCGACGCGTAATCAATGAAGTTTTGTCATTAGGCTCAATTAGGTTAGCCTGGTTATTTGGAAGGTGGTAATGCATTGGTTAGCCTGGTTATTTGGAGGGTGTTAATGCAATGGTTAGCCTGGTTATTTGGAGGGTGGTAATGCATTGGTTAGCCTGGTTATTTGGAGGGTGGTAATGCATTGGTTAGCATGGTTATTTGGAGGGTGTTAATGCATTGGTTAGCCTGGTTATTTGGGGGTGTTAATGCATTGGTTAGGTTAGGTTAGATAGGCTGGTTATTTGGAGGGTGGTAATGCATTGGTTAGCCTGATTATTTGGAGGGTGTTAATGCATTGGTTAGCCTGGTGATTTGGAGGGTGTTAATGCATTGGTTAGCCTGGTTATTTGGGGGTGTTAATGCATTGGTTAGGTTAGGTTAGATATTCTGGTTATTTGGAGGGTGGTAATGCATTGGTTAGCCTGGTTATTTGGGGGTGTTAATGCATTGGTTAGGTTAGGTTGGTGGGGAGTGTTTGGAAGTACGCAGATCACATCGATTTCGGAATCTTACTGAACAAATCCGGGAAAAATATATTTTTAAACAATTGTGCTAAATACTGTGTAATGATTTTATTGTCAATTTATTTTTATAGTGTTTTTGTTTTGCCTCGTTTATTATATTTTTAATTTTTCGTGTTCTTAAAGTACGTACTAACTGTAAAAAAAATGAATATAAAGTAGAACGTTTTCGTCGATTTTACACAGGGTGAGTATGGCAACACTGTGCATAACCTTGTATTTTACTCGCTTTACGAAGGTTATAATAGGGAGTTTTCGCATTGAAATGTAGTGAAAATTTTGAATTTTTAATTATTTTTTTTTCCTAGAATAAGTGGTTCATCCAACAATTTTTTTCTTTTAAACTATTCCATTAACTATGGGATCCACATTAAAAATTAAAAAAACCTCGAATTCGTGGGGACCTGTTCTGCACAAGACCCATCTATTCCTATTTCATCCTCAAGTTTCCTTGTGCTGATCTTTCCATCGTTCTCTTCCACGCACAATAAAACTTCCAAGTCGGTATCATTTCTTGCATCTTCTCTTTGTTCCTGCCTTGCTTCACATCTGCAGTTATTTATTAGGGTTTAGGGTAAATCTCCGGATATTCCTTGCGATTGTAGATTTTCCAGGTATCGGTCTCTTCGGATACAGAGCAGCAAACATGTCCGACACATTTTGATAACTATTTCCTTGATAATACCATTTAATCATCAATACTTTTTCTTCGGTAGTGTAATTCATGGCTAATATTTTCGATGTAGGTATGAGTTTTTAATAATAATAATAAAGCACTAAATCACACTAAATAGACAAATTTCTGAAATGACAACTTCATTTGACAGTTATCTTTTACCTTGACTGGTGCTCATAAGTAAATACAGGGCCATAAGAAAGGAGCAATATTTAAAAAGAAATCAGCGATAACTCGTAAACGAGCTAATCCAAAATATCTAAAGTTATTCTTTTGAATGTGGGTTTTAGTGCTCTTCGATAAACCTAAATAGAATTATTCTCTAAAATAATTAGGGAAGCCAATAATTGACCCCATTAAAATTTACACAGGAACGGATGTACCACAAAAATGGAATGAGGCTTACCTCTCTATAACTATATACAAAAAGGGAGATCGTACTAAGTGCGAAAACTACAGGGGAATATCAGTAACAGCCACCGTGAGTAGAATATATGGAAAAATTTTGAGAAATAGGATCGAAAACGAATACCAAGAAATAGAAGCCGAAGAACAAGCAGGATTTAGAGCCGGAAGATCGACGGTGGACCACTTATTTACAGTCACTCAAGTAATGGACTCGAGATCAATACTAACAAAACAGAATATATGCGTATCGGAGGAGAACAACAAGATCTAATACTAGAAGAAGGGAAGAAAATTAAGTGCTGCACAAAATACAAATATTTGGGTATGCAAATCACAAATGATGGACTGTTGGATACAGCAATTAAAAACTTGGAAGGAATACTATCACGGTATTGAATGGGATACTGTGGGACAGAAGCATAAACAACAAGAACAAAACTCTAATATACAATACCATCATAAAGAGTATAACCACGTACAGCTGTGAAGTCTGGCCAATTAAGGAAACAACAAAACGAATGCTGGAAGCTACAGAGATGGATTTTTGGAGAAGATCAGCAGGCAAATCAAGACTCGAGCGAATAACGAAATAATAATATGGTACGGGCATGTCCAAAGAATGGCAGAAATAAGAATCCCAAAGCAAATTATAAACTGGAAACCTGCAGGAAGAAGAAAACTGGTAATATATATATATATATATATATATATATATATATATATATATATATATATATATATATATATATATATATATATATATATATATATATATATATATATATATATATATATATATATATATATATATATATATATATATATATATATATATATATATATATATATATATATATATATATATATATATATATATATATATATATATATATATATATATATATATATATATATATATATATATATATATATATATATATATATATATATATATATATATATATATTAATCGGTTTAAAACGTTCTACGTCTTCCGATGCCATCTCTCCTGCCATCTCTCCATGCCCTCTCCATGCACCGTCTCCGAGAGATCTTTCCTCCATAAACGTGTCAATCCCTTCCTGCCAAGTTCTTCTCGGTCTACCCGGTTTTCTTCTCGTTTGTTGTTTCCTTAATTGGCCAGACTTCACAGCTGTACGTGGTTATACTCTTTATGATGGTATTGTATATATATATATATATATATATATATATATATATATATATATATATATATATATATATATATATATATATATATATATATATATATATTATATATATATATATATATATATATATATATATATATATATATATATATGGGATTATTGTATAATAATATATATATGGGATTAATATATAATATAAAATTTACATGGGATTTCTCATGTCCCGTTCGACGATGTATAAACAAGACGAATTTTTAACTTCCAGGGGTTCCAGGGGTTTTTACCAGGGGTTCCATACGTCCATAATCTTAAAGGAATAATAAATTATGCCTTTTATATATTATAGTTTTTCTCTCACACATTGGTTGAACATACTTCTCAAGGCCGTCACCATAGCCTACGAATGTTCCTTCAAAAAAATTAAACGCTAGTTTTAATGGCACTTTCTATACGCTCATTAACTTATGTAAAACACAAACGTAATATGCTAAATAGACGGTGTTATTGAATAAACATTATAGGTATTATGGGCAGTGAAAAAAGTCACACACAGTACACTGTCGCATTGTAATTCCGCGGTGTTACATGACTATATTGTTAATTGTATAGTTAATTATACAGTTGGCTTTTTGTCTCCCTTATATGCCATACAGGGTGGACTAGAATTGATTTATTAAAATTTAATGAATATTTTTTTAAGACTATTAAGAACATTTACCTTCAGGTTCTGTCTATGATCTATGATGAACAGTAGATGGAAAACTTTAAGCATTTGCAGAAGAGCCAGGAAAACTTGGTCCAAATACGACCTTAAGACACTTATTTTCTCTTTATTTAATTACGGCGATGTTGTTTATTGTACATCCATAAACGCTAGATTCTCTAGAAAAATCCAAATACTTCAAAACTCGTGTCTATGGTTTTCTTTTAACATTCCTTTTAGAGATCTATTTTATCCATGACTAACAGACGACAATTTCATTTAATGACATTCATTTATCGAATTCTAACTACAGAGCAGCTTCCCTATTTGTTCTCATTATTTCACTACGTTGACCATGCTCATTCGACTAGGCAAGTGCATTATTTTAAAATTCCTCAACACCGAACAGCTAAAATCTTTCAGTTTCATAGCGCCACATGTGTGGAATAATATTTCTAATAACTTTAAATTTTAATCCTTTACAGATTATAAAAAACAAATTAAAAATCATTTACTAAATTCGTGAAAATTGTAATATCTTTGACTGATTTGTGAGCTTCTTGTTCTTCGGATATGTCCGTCATTGGTTGCTGTTCCGGATTTTACACTGTTTCTCTCTGCTTATCTCCGCTCATCCCTGATAAAATTATATTTTATCTTTTTTTGTTTATTTATCTAATTTCTGTTTATTTTTGTAATGTAATTTATTTCTATTTTGTTTTTGGGGTCTCACCACTCTAGCACTTTGTGTCTTTGTATCGGTTTTTTAATCGCGGTGCGATCCCTTTAGACACACATTTATTAGGAATAGTAAAATTATTAATCTGTAAAACGTAATGGGGTCTAATAAAAAAAATTGAATTTGAAAAAGAAAAGACTATGGAGAAAATCTAAACCTATTTTTATATTCAAGCATTAGACCGGAATCGACGTCATGATGCGCAATTTTTTGACAGGTTTTTTGACATTTCACTTGACACATTTGAATTTGACGCGAATTTTTGCGGATTTGTTGGACTTTTCTGAGTTTATTTTACGTCATTTATTGCTGACAAATAATTGGTTTTATGCGGAGTATACAAATCTGGAAAGATATTGTGTCAGGACTTGAATAATTGTAAAGCTGTAAAGGGATTTCAAAAATAATTACTTGTGCAGCGTGCTATGCAAAAAATGTGATAAAAAATGTAAAATAATGGAACAGCTTTTTTCTAGGAAGTTACCGGGTGAGTCTTAAATAAGTTCAAAAATTTTCAGGGCTGGTAGATCTCGATAAAAGAAACATATTTTCTCTTTAGCGTTTTTCAAATAATTCCAAAATAACAGAGTTATTTTACTTTGAAAAATAAAAAAATATATTTTTGGCTTCAATTTTGAGAAGCAGTGGATTTTTTGGGTTTCTTGGTTGTCTTATTATCAGAATATTATGTTTTTAACTAATAATCCAAAAATTTTTTGGCAAAAAATATTATAAACGATTTTTCTAGGGTCGAAATATACTACTCCTAAAAATATTTGCACTTAATTAAGACTCACCCTGTATATATAATATTTTATTGAATTTTATTATTAACCTTAAGTATGACTTTGAACACAATATCCTGTACATAAATTCATTAATTTAAAATAAAACATAAAAATTATTGGTAGTAGCCTAGAAACATGTTGAAATATATTAAATCGGAGTGTTTTTTTTTTAATTTAAATCACCCTGTATAATCTAATTCAATTAACATTAAAGAAAAACAACTTCAAGGGAAAATAAAACAAGAACAGTTTTTTTTATCAAATTTTATATATTTATTTTCTACACTACACGTAACATAATATTATAACAAAAACAATATTAACAAAAATAAATATTAATTTTTAAAGCCTAAATTCATTAATTTTACATTTCTTATTTTCTTTATAAGAAAAATTTCACACATTTTTTTTATTCCATTCAGTCACAAGGCCTCTCAAATGGTAAGAAAATATTTTTTTTTTATTTTTTTAGTAACCAAGCTTCTTTAAAGCTTTTAGATCCACATCTTTGTAGTAATCTTCACTATAAAAACAAGAAAATAGTTTTATATAGGGTGATTCACGACGGATGGTACTTTAGACGTTTATGGAGATAGGATTTTTTGGAAAATTTAGATTTTTACAAAAAGACACCTGGTCCATCTATCTAAAAAGTAAGAGAATATCCAAATTTTTTCTAGTTCTCCATTAGCATCTAACCTACCATGTGCTATGAATCATTTTGTATATTTATATCACATATATTTTTAAAGAAAAAGTGTTACGTTAGCACCAGATAGTGTTAGAGTATTATTACAAGATTTTTCATGCCAACATACAGAATTATTGTGTCTTAAAAATACCCCAGAAAATGAGAAACATGCTGTATGTACCTGATTTTTTTATATATGTGGCTGTTAACTGTACATAAGAGGGTGCAATAATGCAAGGATAAATGAAGGAATTGTAGGATATGAAATAAAAGATTTTTAAATTTTTGTATAAGTATATTTTTATTTATTTTTCTATTTTTATATAAAAAAAATCTTAATTTTGTACCGATTTTTTTCGGAATATAAAATAAAAAATCAACAAAGATTCGCTTTGTCACCTTAGAGACTGTCAAACAATATTCAAAACCTTAAACAAAGAAAAAATTAAATAAAAATCAAACAGAGTCGAATTTTTTTTGACAGTCCCTCAAAAACGTGTCTTTTTTCAGTTAAATTAAATTAAAAAAAATAACACGCCGTCTTTTTTCGGTATTCTACACGTAAAAATACCGATTCCACGCCACTGAAAGATGTTCGAAGAAAAAAGTAGGGGAAATGAAGGTAAAAAAGAACTAGGGAAGAAGTCTGTGGTAACGTGTCGTGTTTTTAGCACTGTGCGCAGCTTCCTGACGCATCGACGGTTTAGTTGGAAGGCTCAGGTGCGTTACGAGACGCAGGGGCGGGCCTAGGGGCTTTTTTAGGGGCGGAAGTGGCTCTGCTGGCGCTACTGGATTGAAGTCCGGCCAAAAGTTCGCTCTTGCGGATGCTCTTCAAGTCCAAGTCGCCATAGTAGTCCTCGCTGAAAGAGTTTTCGTTTGTTTTGTTGGATTTTTTCGACTAGAGTAGGTTTTGGGGTGGTTTTTTGGGGGGAGTGCGGTGTTGATTTGTGATTATTTTAGTCACAGAGAAGAGAAGAAGAAGTTAAATGGTGAAGTTAGAGGTTAATATTAGTGTAACCAGTACAAAAATTTGATTTAGCTGTATGAAAAGGAAAAAAATAAAATGTAAAATACAGGAAAATTAATAAAAGTTGGCGTAAAAAAAGTAACCGTGGCAACATACATTTCTCAAATATTTTGATGACGTGAACGCCAACTTCTATTAATATTTTCCTGTATGTACTATTCTGAAGTACTTCCAAATATACACAGAGAAGAAAGTATTTACTCAGTTACTAGGTACTGCTTACACTACTTAACATACTATTACATAGATAGAAAGTTCAGATAATTTAAATTTGTTAATTTATTTAGAAGAATTTTTGTGCATAACAAGTAAAAATTATTAGTTTTTTTAATAAAAAAAAGTGTGAAGATCCACAGGATAAATTATTATTAAAAAAAAATGGTGAAACTTACCATCCGGGGACATCTTCTGGATCTTCACAGTTACCAGTACCATCGGCGTCACCGATTTTGAACACTGTACCAATTGGGCAACCGTATTCCCGGGCTTGTCCTAAACAAAACGTCATAGTTGTCAAAAATCAAACTCTAAACCAGTTACAAAATTACTAGAGTATACAGGGTGATCCGAACTGTATTCCGGAATTTGGAGAAAATCGAAATAAAAATGAAACTTCTACACCCTGTATCTCCGAAACTAAGCATTTTAGGATATACATTTATACGAACTTTTTTACTTATTTTCATGTATATAGAATACAGTCCGGACCACCCTGTATATTTTTTTTAACAGTTACATTGATAAAAATCAAAAAATATTTTCTTTGAAGAATGTACGAGGGTATTTTGAAGAGTTTCTGACCACACGAATGAAGGAAACATAACAGGATTACGAGGGTTGTCTTATATTTTGCATATAGAGGTTGAAAAAACAGTAGATATATTTTAAACACTATTGTTTTTCGAAATATCTTGCGGCGCCTACTCTCTTTTTATACGCAAAATATAAAAGACAACCCTAGAATAGACGAATACAGGGTGAAGTCAAAAACTATCCAGACTCCCCTCAAAGTTTTTGGTCAAAAAAAACAAATTTTTCCTTACCTTCCAGACAGATGTAGTACTTCCTGCAGTCGTCAGGATGCGCGTGTCTGCTGAACGATCCAGCATTGCTGACTTCGCCTGCTGCGGGACATGTGAAACCTCCTGCTACCTCTGAAACCGGTAAGTATATTGTTGTCAAGACTAAGGGAGGGCACTCAATTTTGAATTTGGATATCTGTTTATGTTTTTTGGGTCCACTATGTACAAGAGTAGTTGTTTTGTAAGTGTCTTTGTGGTTGTGATAGATAATATCATGCAAGTGAAGATTGAATAACAGAAAATAAAAATGAAAGTTTTGTTAGCCGATTGCAATGTACAGGGTGTCCCACTAAGAATAGCTCTCGGCTGTATCTCGGAAAGTATTGGCCGTAGCGGCTGCGGAAAAAAATATTTATAACTAAAGAGACTATGGGAAATTGCTGGAAATTATTTTCAAGTTTGTAGAACGACCGCTAAGGGGCGCAACTGCATCAAAAAATAAGAAAATGGAGTTTTTACACAATTTTGCCTAGATAAGGTGTACTATAAGTAACAGCTTCATAATCTTCAGTAAATTTTGAATATTTTTTGTTAGAACCATTTTTTCCTATCTACCAAAATAAAGTGGTGGGGAAAGGTTAGATCTGTTTTTATTTGAATATTAATAACTCTGGACTCGATGATCGGAATCCAACAAACGAGGGCTCGTTTAAAAGAGCGTTTCTTACTCCATATTGTACCATATAAACAATAATAATAAGCTTATGAACGTAGACGCTAGGGGGCGTTGTCTTACAATTTAACAAACATTGCGCGTTTTTTCAAAAAAAAAATAAATGCAATAGTATATGTAATTTTAGCTGACAGTAAAGAGTAGTAAAAGCTCAAAAAGACAGCGAAAACCGTATCTTGATATCTTCCTTCAAACCGAAGATATTAGCAAAATTATAATAAATACCAAAAAATAAGCCCTTAATTACCTTATTTTTACAACACGGTATCAGTAGCCCTCTTGATTATACCCATTCTAACCTAAAAATAAGATAGAAACAGTTAGTTTATTTTAAAATCGACGATATACAAGAATATCATAATATATATTGAAATAATAAAAATATTAATAATAGTGATTTAAATGCTTTTATTATTTGAAGTAGTTGAAGTTGTTGACATTTTGAAAAAGCAATCAAAAGATAAAAAACGCTGCTAAGACTATCAAAATGTTGATCTAATAACAATTTGACGTTTATACTATTACGTCAAAAGCAACTTTTTTCCAAAGCCTACCATGACTTAACTGAATCATCGTTTCTTGTTCACTATTATTAATATTTTAATTATTAGATATTAATACATCTGGTATTATGGTATTCTGGTATTTCGTCAATTTTAAAATAAACTAATTGTTCTATCTTATTTTTTTGTTAGAATGGGCCTAATCAAGAGGGCTACTGATACTGTATTGTAAAAATATGGTAATTAAGAGCTTATTTTTTGGTATTTATTATAATTTTGCTAATATCTTCGGTTTGAAAGAAGATATCAAGGTGCGGTTTTCGCTGACTTTTTAAGCTTTTACTACTCTTCACTATCAGCTAAAATAACACATACTATCGTATTAAATTTTTTTGAAAAAACGCGCTATGTTTGTTAAATTGTAAGAAAGCGCCCCCTAGCGTCTACGTTCAAAACCTTATTATTATTATTTTTATGGTATAATATAGAGTAAGAAACGCTCTTTTAAACGAGCCCTCGTTTGTTGGATTCTGATCTTCCAGTCCGGAGTTATTATCATTTAAATAAATATAGATCTAATCTTCCCCCACCACTTTACTTTAGCAGATAGGGGAAAATGGCTCTAACAAAAAAAATCCAAAATTTACTGAAGATTATGAAGCTATTATTTATAGTACCCATTATCTAGGCAAAACTCTGTAAAAAACTATTCTCTTATTTTCCATAGCAGTTGCGCCACCTAGCGGCCGTTTTACAAACTTGAAAATAATTTCCAGCAATTTCTCATAGCCTCTTTAGTTATAAATATTTTTTTCCGCACGCCCTATGGCTAATACTTTCCGAGATACAGCCGAGAGCTATTCTTAATGGGACACCCGGTATATTGGATAAATTTTATGCAATATTTACAAAAAGTCTCTTAATCTGTGTAAGGAAAATATGTTTGTACCAGAGGTAGAGAGAACTCATAGAAACAAAGTTATATGTAATTTACTTATTAATCCAAACCAAAAAACAAATGTTTTTGACTCATTTACATGCCAATACAATGTGTCAAAAAATATGGTACAAAGAAAAACTAAAAGCATCTATATATTTTACAAATGTAAATAAAATAAATCTCTATATACAATCAAACTAAAATATAGATACATTTATATGGTAAAAAGTTTGTATTTCAGTCTAAGATATATATTTTTTTAAATAAAAATCTACAAACCAAGACACCAAATGTTTCTGTGGACTAATTTCATTCTACATGCCAATTGAATTCATGCCAATAGAGAGTGTGCCAAAAATAAAGGAAAAGTAATGGAATGTATGTAACATATGAAAATATATACATATATACAATATCTCTGAGTCGATCATGCAAATAAAACCAGTTCTAATTGGAGGGAATTGCAGGAAATAGCAGTTAGCGTTTACCGCATTTTAAGACAGGCAGCTTTCACGCTAACGCAGCGTTCTGATTTTTCCGTAATATGCATGTCAGTAGGTATAAATAACGAGGTAGGGATGTAAAAAGCTATCGATAAATTTTTATATCGATAGATTTTAATGTTTTTATTTTTTTTTATTTGAACAGAGATAATGATCTCATACGTTCATTCCTCGCTAGTATACATCAGAAAAAATTATCGATACTTAAAAAAAATCGTATCGATATTTTAAAATATCGATATTTTCATACATCCCTAGATGCTGCTAAATCCTGCAATTATCAGCAGGAATCCTTACTCACCCTCGTTTTTGCATTCAGGGACTTGATCAGCCCACATGCATACCCTGGCTTCTCTGTCGTAGGCTAATCCAGGAGAACACTGATACCTATAAATTGTAAAAAATAATATTTATGTTCTTTAATTATTATTGTATTCAATTGAGGATAAATAGCATCTAAGGCTCAGTGATTGATTTTAAGTACTATTTTTTTAAGCAATGCACTTATATACTTATTTTTCGATTTTTTTTAAGTTTTGACTCTGGATAAGCTTACCTGGATGCTTCTCCGTTCCAACAGTTCCAGAAAACGTCACATTTGGCCTCATCAGGGAAAATGCCGTACAGCCTTTCACAATGTGTCGTTGAAATTGGTGGTTCTGAAAGCAAAAAAAGAAGTTTTATTATATAACACCCTGTACACGTGGATTATTACTATTAAGTATTCTATAATCCTTCTTGGATTAATCATGTAGATATTTACATAATGTCTATAATCATAGTTTTATGTGTTTTATTTTTGTTTTTTTAATTGAAAAAGAAAACTTTAAAATTAGTAGGTAATCCTGAAAGGAAAGTGAAAATTATATAAAACGCTAGGAATATTATTAAAGACATATTTAAAAGATAGATCAGTAATATACGAGTTTAAATGTTAATAACTCCGGACTGGATGATCAGAATCCAACAAACGAGGGCTCGTTTAAAAGAGCCTTTCTTACTCTATATTATACCATAAAAATAATAATTATAAGGTTTTGAACGTAGACGCTAGGGGGCGCTTTCTTAAAATTTAAAAAACATAGCGCGTTTTTTCAAAAAATTAAATACGACAGTATGTGTTATTTTAGCTGATAGCAAAGAGTAGTAAAAGCTTAAAAAGTCAGCGAAAACCGCATCTTGATATCTACTTTCAAACCGAAGATATTAGCAAAATTACAATAAATACAAAAAAATAAGCCCTTAATTACCTTATTTTTACAATGCAGTATCAGTAGCCTTCTTGATTAGGCTCATTCTAATAAAAAATACGATAGAAATAGTTAGCGGTCGTTCTACGAATTTGAAAATCATTTCCAGCAATTTCCCATAGCCTCTTTAGTTACAAATATTTTTTTCCACAGCCGAGAGCTATTCTTAATGGGACACCCTGTACATACATTGACTTGTCTTGAACCAACATGTAAAAGCAAAATGTAATCAATCCGTGTGTTTATTTACAGTTTCTTTTGACCACTAATACCTGTAAAAAACTTTGGTAACCGTCAATTTATAATTTTCAGTTTTACGACCGACTGAGATATTGGCGGTTGAGTTTTTTCAATCATGTGATCAGTAATTCATCTACTAATAGTATTTTAACTATTAGAACATTGATATTGTTTTCGAAATATAAGGTATTCCATATTACCCGAAATTACTCTATTAACATTTTTGATCAAATCTGTAACATTTAAACCATAATCACCCATATACAGAACGTTTCACAAAATAAGAAGAAAAAATCGGTACGATTTCTTAATGAAATTATATAACCGATCTTGTTGCAAGAGTGTATGTTTAGGTTTTGCGACCCAAATTCAAAAACCGGTCTGTATCTGTTACTTTTCATTTTATTGGCTTATTGTGAAACCACATCTCATCTTTCCACTGTATCGGTTGATTGTACTCAAATAAAATGGTACTATAGAAAGGAATAACATACATTTAGTAGACGTAAATCAAAAGGCGTTTCTATAGCAATATAATATTTCATTCTTTGATAGATGGTTATTATTAATTTTGATTAAGGTCAAATTTTTTGCTGTTAATGTATCACATTTTCCTATAACTATTATCACCCTTTCCATAGCATTGAATTATAGTTATGTATGATACTATTCTGTTATCTTACATATAAGTCACGCTGGGAAATGTTTAGCTAATTTTCTCAAGTGACTTATATGTTATAACATACGAGTGCTATACAAAATTTTATCCAACAGCAAAACTGTTTCATGTCCAATCTCTAATGAATAATTGATTTAAAAGGATCTATATCAGTTCGACTTTCATTGTTGCGAATTAATAAATTATCAGTGTGCGTTTATGTTACTATGCAATATACAGGGTGAGTTTTTCCTACGATGTTCTTTATGGGTATCTCGGAAACTACTGGAGATAGAGAGTCGGTTAAATGGGGAAAGAATTGCAGTTTTGTGGGGTCATAAATAAATATGCGCCTTTCAGATTTTTGAAAAAGTTCATGGCTTACTAGATATTTCGAAAAACACTAATTTTGGCTATTTTAAAAATTATCCCTAATTCCATTATAAGCTATTTTAGACAAAAAGTTTTCAGATAAAAGTTGTAGATAATCACATCCTTAATGAGATTGTGTCCTCAGTTTTTTTCTAAAGCCTGTCATTTTTGATATATGACACAAACATATGTTTTTTTAAATGGAAACCATAGCTGGCCATGACATCATAAAAAGCGCCATTTTTTAAGCTTTTCAGCGGTATAAGCTATAATATGTTTTTTAAAAATTACTGAGTTATAGCCAATTCTTATAATTTTTAAACAATTTCACTTAGTTAGCCATGGAAACAAGTTTAATCATCTTTGCTCCTCAGAAATGTAAAGCTGTCACATCCAAACTTGGTAAATTAAAATAAACAAAAATTGTAAAATGAATTTTCAAATGAAGAAAAGCTTGTAGGATTATTGGTTCAACTTTTCTTGGCCATACATTTTCGAGGGATACGTTGACCGGTGAATGTTACGTTTTTTGGAGAACGGGTTTTAAGACATGTTTGAAAAGCTAAATTTATTTATAGCCAATTTTATCTTTCTAGACTAATTTCACTTAGATTGTATGGTATTCACTTCTGTTATGATTTATAACTTATAAAAAGTCAGAATATATTATTAAACGGTTCTTTACAATTTACATTACACAAACTAAAACTTAAAAAAATAATATCACTACATACATTTTAAGTTATTTTAGAAAATGTTCAAAAAAAACCGCCATTGTTTTGAGTTGCATCTTTTAAAAATGAATTACTACCTATTCTCAGAGAAGGACCGGTCGACTTAATTAAACTTCTCTCGTAGCACCACAACGAGTGCGTCTCTTAATTCATATTTTTTTTTTAAACTTTATTGTTAACCATACTGCATAAAAAATCTAAAATGTATAGATCAGGTGATCGCGGAGGCTCATGCAATTGGTCCACCTCTTCCTAGCCCTGAGTTTGCATTCAATTTCTTTCGTTATGGGGGAGGGGGATTATAATGAAAGTCATGTTGGAACCACTCTATTGATGCGCGAGTATCTAAATGCTCTTCTTCACTTGAAAAATTCATATTTACAATTTTTGTTTATTTTAATTTACAAAGTTTGGATGTGACCGCTTCACATTTCTGAGAGCAACGGCGATTGAACCTGTTTCCATGGCTAACTAAATGAAATTGTTTAAAAATAATAAGAATTGGCTACAACTCAGTAATTTTTCGAAGAAAACATATTGTAGCTTATATCTTAAGGGAAAGGGAAAGAAGAAAGACTGACAGAGATGCTCCAGAATATGACACCTTAAATAAAACAACTAAAAGAGAAATAAGAAAAGATCTTAGGGATTATAAGAGAAACCAAATTTTGGAAACAATTGAAAACAATAGAAGCATGAAAGTGTTAAGACGCAAGCAAATGCGCGGAAAACAAAAAATAATAAAAATAAGAAACACACATGGCACTATAACATGAAATTAGAAATGAAATTCACAAATTCTACGAACAACTTTATCAGTCTGTTATACCAAACAAAGATAGAGTACAAAAACACAGCACAAACGTAGGATCAGAAGATATGCCAGAAATATCAACCACAGAAATTAAATACGCACTTCAACAAATAAAAAATGGCAAAAGCCCAGGAGAAGATCGTATTACACCTGAAATGCTGAAGATGGGCGGAAAACCATTAGTGGATACCATGGAAGTATTGTTAAATAAATGTCTGATGGAGGGTAGAATCCCGGACGCATGGAAAAACGCAGAAATTGTGCTATTATACAAAAAAGGAGATTTTACAAATATAGAGCATTATAGACCAATAAGCCTTCTTTCGCATCTATACAAGCTCTTTACTAGGATTATCAACAACCGACTGTCTACGAAACTAGATTCCTATCAGCCAATAGAACAGGCAGGCGTTCGAAAAGGTTTTAGTACCATCGATCATCTACAAACAATTAAAACAGTCATTGAAAAAACAACAGAATACAATATACCTCTACATTTGGCCTTTGTAGACTACGAAAAAGCCTTTGACAGCATCGAAACCTGGTCATTTCTAGCTGCAATAGAGGACGCGAGAATTGATTCCAGATATTATTCCATTATTAAAAATATCTATGATAGTGCAACCTTCCAAGTTAAATTAGATGATGACCTCAAAACAGAAAAAATACTACTCGGCAAGGGCGTGAGACAAGGAGATACCATCTCTCCCAAGTTATTTACACTGGCACTGGAAAATGTCTTCAAGAAATTAGAATGGGAAAATAGAGGTCTAAACATCGATGGGGTACACCTTAGCCATCTGAGGTTCGCAGACGATATTGTCTTGCTGAGCACCGACATTCAAGAACTAAACACCTGCTAAATGAGCTAAATGACCAATCCCAGAAAATTGGCTTTAAAATGAATTTGAAAAAGACCAAGATAATGAGCAACAATATCCATAACATTACCGTTGACAACGTTATTATTGAAAACGTAGACCATTATATATATATTTAGGTCATAAAATCAAGCTGGGCAAGGAAAACCAAAATACGGAGATCAAACGCAGGATCCATTTGGCATGGGTAGCATTTGGAAATATGAGCAATATTTTCAAGGATAAAAAGGTGCCCATGAACCTAAAGAAAAAAGCTTACGACAGCTGCATTCTACCTGTGCTTACGTATGGCTTAGAGACTATGTCAATTACTCGAAAAACAGCAGAACAAATACGAGTAGCACAAAGAGCCATGGAAAGAATCATGTTGGGAGTCAATATTAGAGAAAAAAATACGGAATACCCACATACGTCAAAAAACAAAATTAATAGATGTCGTTAAAAGAGTGGCAAGTCTGAAGTGGCAATGGATAGGACATGTGGCAAGACAGGATTCAGACCGATGGCCCCAAAAAGTAATCCTATGGAGACCTAGGGAAACAACCAGGAGTATGGGCCGACCAAAAAAGAGATGGGTCGATGACGTCAGGGCAGTGGCGGGAAGACAATGGATAAGATTGGCTAGAGATCGCAAAGCATGGAAAAACCTAGAAGAGGCCTATATCCAACACTGGATGGAACCAGGCTGAGAAAGAAGAAGAAAGAAGAAG